AATATTGGAAAACAATATTCTAAGTTGCTCAGTCAGTGTCCTCTGAGACCAGGAAACTATATGGATAGAATGTGTGAAATGTTGTAGTATACCAGATTTCTTATGTAACAATTACATAATGATTTCTTATGAAATTCATTAATAATCTACAAAAGTCAAAGGGCATTAATATACTCATTTATATTTCTATAAGGAGTGAACATAAGAAGCAATTATATCCTTCTGGGTCTTAAGTATTTCCTGGATGAACAGATGTCAGAAGGCACTGTGGAAATTAGTATGTGTTGTGCAATATCTAGAGGTACCTTACTGGCAAAAGCTTAATTACATTTTCTTCTTATGGCAGTGTTGGCTAGGACAGCATGGCAGGATATTTAGAATCACCAACATTAGAGACAATTTCTAAGCATATGATGATACTAATACAGGTTATTATACTAATATGACGGTGGTATGACAAGTGTTTGTTTATTCTGAAGAGAAGAATTGTACTTTTAGAACTTGAGTCTGACTTGAGATTTCTGTTTGGGGGAAATTTAGCAGTTTGGGCATAAACCTCACTTCTGGTATTTATATAATTTTAAAGTTCAATCCTCTTCAGTCTGTTCTTGTCTCAATGAATTTATTTAAAGCTCTGTGTGTACATGTGTGTTGCCTATGCACATGAATGGGCATGTATATATTCAAGAATGTACACATATGTATATATGTGTATGTATATACTAAATGACAATGCTGGACATAACCCTCAGGAGTTCTGTCTTCCTGCATTGAGATGGGGTCTCTCATTTGCTTGAAATTGGGCTTGTATAGCTGGTCAATGTGCCACAGGAATCTTTTGCATCCATTTTCCCACACTGTGATTAAAGCCACTGCCAGTACTTTTATGAGAACTGTAGAAATTGAACTTAGCTACTCAATATTACAAGGCAATGATTATAATGACTAAGCTTACTCCCCTGACCCCAGTGTGTTAAATGTAAGCCTATAAGATGGCAAAAAAAATAGGGAGCCGTCACTAAAGTACTTCAGAGACAAAATGCATCTTGTGGACAGGTATAGAATAATACAAGGTGTAGTCAGAGATAGGTTAATAATTGGTAGTTTATTAGGCAAAAATACTCACTCAATGGAACCAGTGACCAGGATTGCACTTGAGCAGGACAGAACCAGAAAATGCTTCCCAGTCAGATCATCCTAGCATGCTGGCCTCCCTGATTCTTAAACCCCTGCTATGAACCTGTGACCACGGCCAAGCAGGTGTGGCCAGAGGTACTTGTAATCAGGGTCACTCCCTACAAACAGGCATGTGGGTGAGCATGAAAGTTGGGAATGCACCCAACAGGCCTTTCACTAATAGCACCTCGACTGTAATCTGCTGGAAGTCCAAAAATTAGTTTGTTAAAACATGAAGTTATAAATATGAGTATAAATATATCAATTTTTAAAAATCAGTATAAGAGAACTGAAAATTTAAAATGGTTTCAATTTAGATAATCAAAATTTATAAACCTCCAATGCATGCTAGCATATCTCCCAAGTAAAGCCCTTGAAAATGTATAAAGTTTTTATTTGATTTAAATATTAATTGAGAAATTGGAGATGGTATATAGTATTTTCTATAGAGTTTATAATTCTCTATAAATTATATGATGTATAAGAGATAACAGAAGCATAAAAGATGTTAAAAGTCACATTTTAGGCTGAGATTTTTATAGTGACAAAAGGGAACTTTAGAGTTCTCAGGAGACTTTCATGAGAAAAATAAAGGTCTTTCTGAGAGCCTGTAAAACAGGTTTCTTTTCTTTTAACAATAAGAAATCTTCAGAGATTGTAACAACATGGGACAATGTGACTAATTAGGAGCTTTGCTAATTGAATCCTCAAAGCAAAAATCTATAAATAATTAGCTTTTTCTTCTAATCTTTTGGAATCCCTCTGTCTGTCCAGTGGTCCACACCCATGCATCCCTCCAAGTACACCATCTGTTACTAAGTGCTGTTGTGTTACTCTTTCTTCCTTACAAGGAAGCCTCAGCCCTTGTCGAGCACCAAGCAGCTAAGAGGCATCAGATCTGGACACACAGTTCATATGGCAACAGAGATTACCTTCACACCATTGAGTTCAAACGAAAGACAGTGAGTAGAGAATAGACTTTGGGAGCTATATTTCCTCATCACCTATTGGGATAAAGTAGTAAAATGGATCCAGCACACCATTTGAGTTCAGATGACTATTAAGTTTTTACTGGTTCTCACGAGTCTGACAGACAGTTTAGCTTTCCTCCCACAGTGCTTTTGATTCTTTTTTGTTTTGTTGTTGTTTTCTTTTTAATTTATTTTAGAAGCACTCTTATTTACATATCCTTTCCCTTGCCCTCCCATCCTGCCATGCTCCCCACCGACCCCCTCAATCCCCAGGAAAAGAGAAGTCCTCCACAGGGGACCATCAAAGTCTTTCATATCATCTGGGGGAAGGCCCAGGCCCTCCTTCCTGCATCTGGGTTGCAATAGTATCCCTCCACAGGGAATGGGCTCCCGAAGTCCATTGATGCTCTAAAGATAAACACTGGCTCCACTGTTAGAAGTCCCATAGACTTCCCTGGCCTCCTAGCTGGCACCCACATTCAGAGGACTTGGTTCAGTCCAATGCTGGTTCCTCAGCTTTACAACTAGGGTCTCCGTGCTCTCACTAGGTTGGGTCAAATGTTTCTGTAGGTTTCTCTAGAATAGTCTTGGCTCCTTTGCTCATCCCTCCTCCCTCTCCGTATGGATTCCAGGAGTATGGTTCAGTACTTAGCTGTGGGTGCCTGTTTCGGCTTCGATCAGCTACTGGGTGAAGCCTCTAAGAATAGTAACCAAGGTAGTCATCAATCTCATTATAGGGGAAGGACATCAAAGGCAGCCTCTCCACCACTGCCTAGATTCTTAGTTGGGGTCAATCCTGTGGATCCCCTAACATTTCCCCTGTGCCACACCTCTCCCCAAACCTGTACTGGCTCCCTCTATCAAGGCATCTCCTTCCTTGCCCTCCTTGATTTTCCCATTACAGGAAAATGTACAAAAGAAGAGAAATTAACACTATCCCATTTTATAATTAAAATAGTTACTGTAGATGACTTTTCTCATAGAAATAATTGCTTGAGTAAAATATGCAGATGCATAAAGACATTCCTAGGAGTGTTATAATAAGAAATTGAAAAAGTCAGCTTCATATTTCAGGTAGGACTATTTATCATTTAAAGTGGTCAGTTAAAATGTACATGGTACACAAAGCTTCAAAGTACAACATTGTGCTAAATGTCTAAGAATATTTACATTTGTAATATAATAGTGTTTATATAGTTTTCAAGTAAATAATTTACAGACACAAAAAACAAATAACACCAACATATTTATAGGAAACACATATACCAATTTGATCACAGAGTTTGCCTTTGGAAAAACTGAAGTATATCAAGCTAGTATACTAAAAAGCCAGTAGTAAGTAAATAAGAGTTCAAAAGTGTTATTAACCTTATATATTGAGAAATAATATAAATGAGAACAGGTAACATTATTGGAGCGTGTAGTTGCTGGTAGACAATAATTCTCATGAATGTCTGTTAGTATATCACATGACTATATATTACACACGCTGATTTAATTGTTTGTAGATTGTGGCAAAAGCATCACTAAGTCTTAAAAACTGAATATGAATTATAATATCAATCTAGCATTTAGACAGTATTTTAAAACTATTATATTTAATACACAACCAATTATGTTAAATTCAGCAATATTTACTTTAATAAATTAAAAAATGTCCAGAAATTTTAATATTACTCCATGTTCTTCTGAATTTTTCTTTCACATTAATGAAACAATAAAATTACTTCAATTGCTTTCATGAAAGTAAATTTAAGAGCTATTTCATTTATCTCTGAGAAAACACTGATTTGGAAAATATTTTCTTCTCTGATGAGTAAGACAAATTGGGGTTTCAGATATAAATACAGATTTTCTCTTTACTTCAACTTACCCACTGTATAAATAATGTTGAATTTGATGAGAAAATTAGTCAGGCATGTTTAAAATTATACAACTATTTAAGAAACTTTGTCAAGCCATGTTCAAAGAAATTCAACCTGAGAAATTTCCTTCAGATTGTGAATAATTAATGGAAAATATACCTGCACTATAGTAATAAAAAGTAGGTGTCACACATTCATAAAAGGTAATTATTGTTATTCATTGATGCATTATTCACTAATACCACCTGGCCTTTAGTGTCAACATGTGAATCGTGCAATCATGAAAAAAAAAAACTATTTATTTAAAACACAAAGTCCATTTAGGCCAAAGATTTGCACTTTTAGTTGTATTACAGAAAACACTCACAAAATTAAAATAATAGTTGTGAGTAGATATATGCTAGTATGGAATATAAATGCCTGCAATCAAAGAGCACAAACTTCTGAATAATTAATATATAAAATATGAAAATTGTATACAGGCAATAAAATTTTGTTTCTAGAATGTCTCTGTTTAAGAGAATGTTTTAGACTGTACTTAGTAAAAATAACAAATATTTAACTAATTTTTAGGATAATTATTTGTTTTAAATATGAATAATATTTATTGTTAAATATTTCTCTCATGAAAGGTATGGAGTGATTTGGGGATTTAAGTTAACAGGAGAATATTTGACTATTATGTGAAAGGTGATGGTTTCAAATCCCAGCACTGAAGAGAAAAAATGAGCAGCTTGTATTTAAGGTACTCAGATAGTCATTTATCTGAATGTTCTCTATTCTCAAATGTTCTGGTGTCTGAGAAAACACCTGTAAAGAAGAGAAACATTACCAAAGTCACTGGAATGCATTGTCTTCAAGAGCAAATTCTTAAATACTGATAGTTTAAGAATATAAGAGAATGGTAAAGTGGGATTATCTATTGCCTATATTTTTGACACCACATTGTTTTGTTTGTTTTAATGATGTTATTTTTACTAGGTGTTCCTTCTCAATGAAAGGAAAGAATCTAACATGTGTATGGGAAATCCTCCTTCTTGGTCTTTCAGAGGATTCTGAAATGAAGCCCATCCTATTTGGACTGTTCCTGTCCGTGTACCTGGTCACTGTGCTTGGGAACCTGCTCATCATTCTGGCTGTCAGCTCTGACTATCGCCTCCACACTCCCATGTACTTCTTCCTCTGCAATCTGTCCTTGGCAGACATTGGCTTTAGCAGTACTACAATCCCCAAAATGCTGATGAACATCCAGTCACACAGCAAATCCATCACCTATGCAGGATGCCTAATGCAAGTGTCCTCTTTCTTCTTTTTTGGGTGTTTGGACAGCCTGCTCCTCACTGTGATGGCCTATGACCGCTTGGTGGCCATCTGTTACCCTCTACACTATGCAGCCATCATGCATCCCCGCCTCTGTGTCTTCTTGTCCCTGTCATCACTGTCCATCAGTCTTCTGGACTCTCAGTTGCACTTCTTGATTGTGTCACAAGTCAGTTTCTGCAGAGTTGTAAAAATCCCTCATTTCTTTTGTGATCCTGCTCAGCTTCTTAGTCTTGCTTGTTCAAACACTTCTAACAATAAAATATTCATTTATATTTTTGGTATAATTTTTGGTGGTATTCCAGTCTCAGGAATCCTTTATTCCTACAAAAGAATTGTCTCTTCCATTCTGAGAATTTCATCAAAAGATGGGAAATTCAAAGCCTTCTCCACCTGTGGAACTCACTTGTCAGTTGTTTGTTTATTTTATGGGACAGCCTTTGGTGCATACTTCAGTTCAGCTGCCTCCCATTCCCCTAGGAAGAGTGCAGTGGCCGCAGTGATGTACACCATGGTTACACCCATGCTAAACCCTTTTATCTATAGCTTGAGGAACAGGGACATTAAGTGGGCCCTGTGGAGGATCTCTAGCAGAAGAGTCTAATTTCAGTAATAATTTTCACTGTTTTATTTCATATGCATAGAAAATAGACCCAAAACAAACATAGGCAATGCAATTACTAAGACTAGATAGAGAATATAAGGACTTATATGCATCTCTGGATTCTCTTCAGATAGTTTTCTCTTACTATTCTTCTAACTTAATTAAAAAGTTAATATATGATACCTATTTAGTCATAAGTACTCAATTTTATGTAGAGTATGTTAAGACCTTACCAATTTTCTTATTCATTACACAATTTTCATAGTCATAAGTAATATTGTTTCCTAATATGGCAAAATAAACATAAGCATCTGTTTGTTCTAATTTATTGTATCTATAATGTCTTTGTTGATACAAAAGTTGGAGATATACATAATCTTGTACTTAGAGCCAAGGTACTGTCTAAATTCTTACTTTTGTTTTGAACAGGTTTTTGGAGGTGGTGTAGTAAGTGTTTAATTTCCATGCTGAACCCAGATAAAATGTAAAGTTGTCAGGGAATGAAAACTGGAAGTTTCCTATGAAGAACTGAAGAAAGAGATTCTGTCACAGCAAGGCCATCTGCACCCTTGCTCCAGTGCCCAAGGTACTCATGAGAAAGGTTAGCTCTAGAAAGGCTGGTGAGGGAGTACTTAAACAGAGATCACCCTAAAAGAGGCTCTCCAATAAACCTACTTCTCTAATATTTGAAATTAACAGCAACATAGAAAGGATAAATATCTAGACAAAAAAAGTGCAAGGGAAAGGAAAATGAGGAAGATTGGGAAAACAGGCTGAAATGGCCAACTAAGAAACTAAAATCCTACATGCACAGCATGAAGAAACTCTCTGAGAAGACACCATCATTTGGTGGAGCCAAAAGAAAGAAGCCAAGTCTGATTAAACACACATCATTTTTAATAATTGACCCCTCCCTATTCTCTTGCAAAACTAAGAGGAATATTTTATCAATTCTTTTCTAATGTGTGTTCATTTTTTCCTTTCTTTTTCTCAGTTGGATGGCTTGCAGCTTGCTATGCAGGTAACCTAGACTAGCCTCAAACTCACAGGAGATCCACCTGCCTCTGCTTCAAGGTAAAGGGATTGAAAATGAGTTCTACCACACCCAGCTGTTTGTTTCCTATTGTAGAGAGCTTCGTGGAGCCACACCTTAAAGATGGTGCTGGCTTCCGCCGAGATCCCGAAAGCCAGCGCTGTCTGAGAAAAACAACTCCATATATGGCTAAGGCCAGACTCATGCGATGGTCATAAGCTGCTTGCGTATGCGTGGACCTATGGACGGTGCCCACGTGGCAATCCAGGGTTGGTGGTCCACGCCTACTTAAGGGCTGGGAGGGGCTTGCCCGGAGAGAGAGATCGCTGTTAACAAGGTCCTGAATAAACTGCTTGCAAGAAGAGCTCCGGTGTTGCGTCATCCTTGCTGGTCGAGGCGGTGGCGACATCCTGTTCATAATAGAAACACTGTGAGTGGAGGAATCCTATCTCATTCTAATTTTTAGGCATTAATTATGTTTTTAGGATAGGAAATGATTTGTGATATTTAAGTTTTAGTGTAACCAGAAAATAGTGGAATATTAAATGGCTGTCTTGAGTGTCAGCTTAATATTGTAAATTTTAGGTTAGTGATGACTGACAATTTGCAGTCATAGTCACTTAATGTTTTAAATATTTTAATTACTTTTAGTCTTATTTTACTTTTACCATAACTGTCTGAGTTTCCTCTTGGAACTGTGTGCACTCTGGAACATATCCTATCTTGGTAGTTTGAGTTTACTAATAATTTTGAAGTATGTTTTAAAAGCAAAACTTTTTATAAATTCATATATGATTTAATTGTGAATCAGTAGGAATGAAATAAAGAATATTTGGATTTGAAGATATTGGTACATGACACTCTCTTATAGAAATGTGTTGAATTTGAATCTGGAACATAGTGGAATAACTTTGAAAAATGAAGCAAAATACATGTATTTAGAATTTTGTGACCATTTCAACAACTCTGCAAATTCAAACATCTCTACTGTAACCTTCAATATAACCAGTAAAATTTCAATTAGTAAAAAGTATTCAACTTGGAAAAAAAGATGTAGGACCATACAGAACATAGAATTTAGAAAAAAAAACTGCATTAAAAGTAAAACAACAAAAAAATAAAAACAAAAATATGATGGTTTCACATTCATGTCTTCATTTCTTTCCCCCCACTCTGCCTGCACTGTTACATTGAGAGTATCTGAAAGGACCAACTTCTGTGATGTACAGAAAGCAATCGACTAGCTATACACACACACACACACACACACACACACACACACACACTATACCAAGGAACTCTCACAATTGTCTTACCCATTGTGGAGCACTGGGGTAATAGCAGGAAGAGCCTATCTCTGATCAAATACAAGCATCAGGGAGTCAGAGACCACAGTGCCCACTGACTGCTGCACAGATTTTGGTTGTACTGTTGTACACCCACTAGATGTCACATTCATTCATGGATGGCAGCCAATGTCAGAATCCCCTAGCAAAACTAAGGTGGTCATTTCTACAGTCATGGCATGACAGCTCATCATTGCTTGAGTTCATACATGACTTCTTCAATACCTAGCCTCAAGCCAATAAGGTAAGAAAAGGCCAACCATAACACAGTTCTATATATCATATGGGCTAGAATTATTCAAATGTGTGTCCAAACAGTGGTTTGTTCATCCCAGTTTCAGATCATACTCCAATTTTGAATGCACCCTGGGACAATCTGTAACCTATTTCACAGAGAGTGGAACCCAGCCGTATCATCATGGTGCCACATAGCAAAGGAAAACATTTTAATTTTTTCCTTCGTAGGGCCCTTCATGTGTATCCCTCTTAGTGCCCTCCTTTTACTTAGATTCTCTGGGGTTGTAGATTGTAGGCTGGTTATCATGACTGCACCTTTATGGCTAACTTTCCATGCAGGTCATTAATATTGATCATAGGCATCATAGCTATGTAGGACAGTTGCTTTTGTTCCTCCTTTGGAAGCTTGAATGATGCCTTCTGATACAATGAAAGATAGTCATTAAGGAGGAGAATGAAGGTCAGTTGTCATCATTGGGCCCTCTTTCTGAAATACCCACAAGAGGGAAGTCCCAAATATCATGAACTTTCAAGGAAAGCAGTCTTGGAAACCATGTACCCCCATGGGGAACAGTCCTGAATGGGAAGTAGTCCTTAATATGTTGTGCCTACATGTGAGTCAGTCTTTAACAAGTTGTACCCACATGAAAAGCAGTCCTGGATATCATGGACCCACTTGGGAAGCATGCCTAGATATGTTGTAACTGGTTAGCATGCGGTCCTGGATATCAGGTACCTACATGGGAATTCATCCTGTATATCATATACATTTATGGGCAGAAGTCCTGCATGTCATGTACCAATGTAGAAAGCAGTCTTGTGTATGTAATAACTGGATGAAAAACAGTCTCTGCATGTCAAGTACCCTCCTTACAAAGCCGACCTGGATGCCTTGTACTCACATTGGAAGCACTTCAGGATATGATGTTGTACTAACATCAGAAGCAGTCCTGAATCTTGTGTATCCATATAGGAAGAAGTCCTGCACACAACAAACTTGCATGAGAAATCCTGGATATTATGTACCTGCATGGGATGCTCTTCTGGATTTGTTGTACCACCATGAGAAGCAGTCTTACATATAATATAAAAACATGGGGAAAAGTCTTGGATAGCATGTAACCACATGGGGACAAGTCCTAGATATCATGCACTTGATGGGGAAATGTTTGGATAAGCATTAGTCTGATGTGAATCTGTCTTAGATATCATGTACTGCATAGGAAGCCACACTAAGATATCATGTACTCACAAGGAAAACAGTCCTGTATATGCCTATCCAAAATGAACACAAGCCTGACTATCACATATCTGCATGGGAAAAAGTCCTGGATGTTACATACCAGCACAGGAAGCAACCCTGCATATCATAAAAGCATAGGAAGAATTCCTGCATATGTGGATCCCACATGGAAAGAAATCCTGGATTTCATAAACCCCTATGGGAAGAAGCCCTGGATATCATGTACTCTCATATAAAGCAGTACTCTATACGTGGTAAACACACAGAGACAGTCCTGAATTTATTGTTACAACACAGGAAGCATGCCTGGATATGTTGTACCTATATGGCTAGCTGTTCTGGATAAAATCATGGGAGGCAGTTTTGGATACCATTTATATGCAGTCAAAGAATTCCTGCAGATAATGTGTCCTCCTGACAAGCAGGCCTGGATGACATGTAGCCTCATGGGAATCCTTTGTATCATGCACTCACATTGAAAGCACAATGTTCAATTTTTCACTTTTTAGGTTCATCGCATTTTCTAACAAGCATCCAACATGAAGGGCATTGGCCATGAAGCTAGATTTCAGTTCCACAATCTACTGAGGGAGTTTCAATGTCCTTAGTATTCAAACTAAAGAAAAAGAGGTTCAGCATGGGAATGAACATATATAATACCATGCACCCAGACATGGCCCTCAGCAGCAGCATGGAGCTGGACATCACCATAGCCTCAGGTGTAGGCCACTCAAATTAACGTATCCCCCCATGCTGTAGCAAGCCCACAAACATCAACATGGCTTCAGACAATGGAACAGGCCAGGGAAATCCACTTGACCTTAAGTGGTAACGTGAGTCATGGACATCAGCTCAGACTCTAGATGTAGCAGGACCTCAGATCCAGACATGGCCCTAAGTAGTAACCCAGACCCTGACAAAAACAAAGTCTCAGACAGCGGTACAGGACACTCACATCAGTAAGGTCCCTGAGATCAGCATGGCCCAGGGAGGTCAACATGGATTAATGTCACAACACAGGTCATGAACATCCCCATGTCATTAGACATCAACCTGGACCTTGGCCACATTAGTTCCACTGATCCAGAAATAGCCCTCAGTGACATCATGGGACATGGTAGTCCTTTGAGGAGATCAATCT